GGGCAAGTCCACCAAGACCTTGGTCGTCGTAGGCTATCCGTACCACTGTGACTGCCAGATGGAGCATAGCGCCGAGAAGTTGTAGAGGAACCTACAAGGGCGAGATGGGTCCATGCAGCCCCCTCCCAATGAAACAAACCAACAGTCGGCGACCAGAGCCAGTTCCAAGACTCAAAGTTGTTGTGCCAATGTCCCAGGGGTTGGAGCCTTGATAGACAAGAGCAGTTTGAACAGGGTGCAAGAACCGTACAACCTTGTAGTCGCAAACTTGAACATCCCAGTGAAGTCGATGCCTGGATAAAGAACCTCCGTCAAAATGTAGTAATCCTGTAACTTGCTGATCAAGGTAAGGATCGCATCCTTCACCGGACCGTAGGCCTTAACACTCAGCAAACCTTGTTGTGCCGATTTCCAATCACTGATGTAGGTGGCCGGTGCTGAGAATGGAAAGTCAGGTTTTGCAGTTGCTGGGTGGAGAATTGACCTCAAAGTGCGATCAACTCTCTTGGCATGAATCCTCCAAGTGAAACAATGTGGGCTAGTCACTCCGGGGGACCGTTTGTTGTACTTTGCTTGGCCCATGTACGGAATAGAAACCCAGTCCATCTTGATACTAATCGGAACTTCAAAACCAAATAGTCTCATCAGTTCCTTTGCATAAGCTGAGAAGTTGACTTCTGCAGGAATAAACGAGCATGATCCGATCTTCACAATTTCTCCAAACTGCAAGGGAGAAGAGTAGCACCCAGTGCCTCTCCCCAATTGACGTAAGCCGGTATGAAGATAGGCTTGCTGTTGGCTGCCGCATAGGGACAGTTACCATATTCCATATCACAGTAAGTCAACAGAGCGCGATAAGTCGAAATGCGATTACGTAATTCTACTGAGTTTCGAATCCAGAGATTCGGTTGCTTATATGTGGTATCAGAGATCGGAAGAAGCTTCAATTCATTAGGGGAATTGTTGATGGCTTCCTCCATGGACGTCAGAACTGTCGACAAGAGCGCCTCCGCCACAGTTCCTGAATCCGACCCTTGATAGTCCACAGAGAAAGTTGTCTCAAAGTTGTGACACTTGCCTGGTATCCCTTCCATGTTCACCTGAATGAGGTTCCAGATCCGCTCGGCCAGTGTTGGGGGGCGTTGAACGCGAGAAGGAGTTGATTCCGAGGGCTCAGTAAAGGTCCCTGTACCTGCTGAGTCTTGTTTTGCCGTAAGTTTAGGAGAAGTCAACGGTAGATTGTCGTCCATGGCCTCATCATGCGGGTTCGCCCCAGCGGTTTGCCCCGTTCGTCATCCTCGTCTTCCTCCATTGCGTCGTCCACAATACTCTCCCTGTCGTTGGGGTCGTCATCTTCAGTGTCTTCATCTTCATCACTCTCCAACAAGGAGTTCTTTGCTTTGTGCTTCTGCTTTGTGGATGACACCAATGTCATGGAGTCCAATGATAATGTGGAGACGACTGGCGAAGACCTCCTTCCTTTGGTACAGTCAGCTTTGGACCTTTGGTCGGGTGGCATTAGTACCACCGGTGGTGCTATCAACCCGGCAAAGTCTTTCTGGTGGCTGATTGATTTCACATGGTAGTCGTCCTCTGGCATGTGGGTGTTTTGGAGGGAGGCTGAAATGCCTGGCGACCTGACCCTCCAAGAACCTACTGGGCCTTGGGCGACACTACGACGCCTCCAACCAGATGAAGCTGAACGGACCCTGGGAGTCATGATGGCCCCACTTGAGACCGGCACAGCACAACACCTTGCTCTGCGGGAGAAGGCGAAGAACTGGGCAGCCAAGTTCCGTCCCCAACATCTACTTTGCTATGATGTTCTTCCCTTGATCAAGGCAACCGCCTTGAAAACTTTGGAGTATGTGATGCCCCTTTCCACAATTGCCCAATCCGACTGGGTGTCCATCATGTCACCGATCCTCCAAGCGAGTTTGCACAAAGCTGCGATTTGCCGTTCCTTTCCCCGTGTGGTGGTCTTTGCCGCTTTGAAATACCAGGGACTGGGTATCCCGCATCCTTTCGCCCTTCAAGTCTTCCACCATCTCAGTGTTCTAATGCGCCATTTGGCCAACCGTACCAAGACCGGCCAGTACCTGGAGGCCAACCTACAGTCCCACCAACTTGAAACGGAACCCACCAACACCGGGATCCTCGCCTCCAAAACATGTTTCAAGCGGGTTTGGATCGAGCTCGACTCATTGGGCATCAGAGTTGAGATCTCCTCCCCTCCCTTGTCCCTCCACTGAGCCAACAACCGTCTCTTGATGGACATCTTCATCGATGCCTTAGTTGACCAAGAGGAATTGCTGTGGCTCAACTGGTGCCGCCAGTTTTTCCAAGTCACCACCCTCTCGGAACTCACCACCGCTGACGGTTGCTCCCTGACGGCAGCTTCTCTTGCCGGCCAACCCTCCGGACACTTTGTGAACAGCTACAACTGGCCCCGAACCCGATGCCCTGGCCCCTCTCATTGGGGGTTCTGGCAATGCGTCCTCTCTCAAGCCGTTCTCCGCCCCTACTGCCGCCGTCGCCGCTTGCTGCGCCCCCTCGGACCTTGGTCTGACTTGCTGGACCGATGGACCTGGCTCCTCTCTCGCACCTCTTCAATCCTCTTCCATCGGTCGGCCTCCAACCTGGCAATCTACCAACCCATCAACTCGCGTTCCCATAAGACCTTCCGCAGGGATCTCCATCATACCTGGACGGGGCCCCTCCCTGGGGACGTCCAAAGGGCCTCAGTCGACCTTCACCCACGGACAGCCTACGTCACTGTCAAGGGCACAGCCCCAGTGGTCCCACCAGATCCAGAGTCCTTGCCAGCCTCGATCCTACACCTCTGAAGGATTTGGCAGCTGACATGGACGACAATTGGGGATGGGTTCCGGAATACATCTACATTGAAGGTGACAAACAAGTTCTGCTGGCGGCACTGGAGAAGGGCAAGCTACAGGTGATCAGCGATGGCTCCTTCAAGCAACCAGTGGGCACAGCCGCAGTCCAGCTACAGACTTGACGTGGAGGGCACGTCATCTGGATCAAATGCTGTACACCTGGGACACGCGAGGACCAGAGTGCCTCCCGGAGCGAACTTATTGGTCTGTTAGCTGGTATCTTGGTGGCTTCTTGGCTCCGCCTACGCCTCAAGTCACTTGCCAAACCACGCGTTTGGGTGGCGTGTGATGGGATCGCTGCGCTTTGCCAGGCCTTCTCTCCGTGGCCGCTGTCTCCAACCGCCCCACACTTCAATCTCTTCTCCTCCATCCGCGAGGCCCTCCAAGTTTCCAACATCTCCTGGGCCAAACAACATGTGGGCGGCCATGCTGATTGCACCAAGACATGGCAACAGATGTCCTGGTGGGAACGGCGGAACTCTGAAGTGGACGACATTGCTCAAGGCTACGCCGATGAGCTGATAGCCACCAACGACATGATTGCCAGCAACCCCAAGTTCTTCTTTGAACCTTGTGCAATCTACATTGACAATGAGAAGGTCTCCTGCCTGGCCTTGGCATCGAGAATGGTTCCAGTCCACCACCACTGCGACACCCATCGCCCGATTCCTTGGGGCCCTTCTTTGCACCATCCGTATCCCTAACAACCAGCCTCAAACACAGACTCCGTGGTACCGCCTCCACGGAATGTCTTCTTCCGCCCTCACCCAAGTCTGTGAGGCTCAACTCCGCCTTGGCCCCCAATGCCTCCTCAAAGGCCTTATTGCCCACGGCTGGGCCGACCTCCAGCAACAATTCTACCGCTCTCGCGGTAGTCGCCGATCCGGTAACCTGTGGGCTGCCAATCTATCTTGACAGCTCATCCTTATCGGTAAAGGCATGTGGAAGCATCGC